GATTTCTGTTCCATTTTTCTAAATGGAAATCAGTGTGGGCTGATTTCCCCCTGAGAGAGAGAGAGAGAGAGAGAGAGAGAGAGAGAGACTGGCTCAGCGGCAAGCTGCAAAACACACAGAACACTTTGTAGTTCGGTTTTTCTTTTAAACATAAATTGTGTTGTTTAGTTTTGTTTTACAGGTATGAGTGACTATGTTTCACAAGCAAATTATACGCATGTGTGAACAGCTCTACCGGCAGAGCAAAGCCCTCTCCATTACATTATGTTGTCTGACTACACACACTACACATTCTCTGTCTGAGCTGTCAACTGTGAACACGGCAGTTGTATACATTATACTCTTCAGGAATGAGAGAAACAGTTTGGGGCCACCAGTCTCCGATGGGACAGGATAAGTATATAAAGCGACCAGAAAATGGGGAAAATGTGTGTGTGTGGGGGGGGGGGGTGTATTGTGTAGGGGATTGCTACAATAAAATGTATCGACAGTTCTAAATAAATGTATTGGATTAGAACATTAGCACCATGATTATGGATACCAGTGGTGGGTTTCTTGGAAACTCTCAAGAATAGTAGTGACTTAGTAGTGATTACAAAGAAATAATTAAAGACAGACTTTCAAGTAACCAAAGTTTCTTTCTTCCACATACACGAACACCCACTAAATAAGCAAATAAATGAAAATGCAAACAAACGCGTGCACACACACACACACACACACACACACACGCATCCACAAGTACGATTAAAAAACACATGTTCAGGTGCCTAAATCAGAAAGTAGAAAGTGAATAATCACATATCAGTTTGTTGGGATTGACACACACAAACAGCTGAAATAAATGTCGACCTCTTTGCGCTTTTAAATCCCGCGGTATTTGTTCCACTCGGGCCTACTCTATAAAAAGGAAAAACACGAACATGTATGGCCTACTATCTAGGGAGGGTGGCCCCTTAAATGTTTTTCCTTGTCGCCGAGTCTCTGAAGTGAAGCCCTTCCACAAAGTCGAGTAGTTGATAACGTGACCATGCACATGAGATAACAACATCTCTTCTTGTAGTCGTTCCAACCCTATATTATTACACTTAGTGTACTGCCGAGTGGTCATCTCAAGTCCACTAATAATACGCATAAATTTGCACCCCTGATCAATCGCACGTGACGAACAGATGGTCTCTGTACGGAAGTTATAATATTAAGACACATAGACTTTACAAAAAGTTTTAATGAGAGTTTTACGGCACTTGCAACATAAATAAGTAGGTCAAACTTTAAGTGCTGAAGATTAGATCAAGTGTTACTAGGCCTAGAGAGTAACACAAAGAAAAGGAGGAGAGAATCAGATAATATAATGACGATAGATCTAGATGTTTTGATATACATATATACATATATAAGAGAGCAAAGAAAGAGCAAACCACACCACGTCCACAGCGCCCGCCAACCACCCACACACGGACATGACAACACATTCTCTCTATCATCCCCAGACATTAATGAGTCATCAGTGAGAGACAGATCTACTGTATGTCCTTCGCTCTATTGAAGGCCTATAGATCTAGATCTAGATGAGAACTCTGAATCCCGACCATAGCATTGGTACGTTCACAAAGTCTGAGGCCTAAGAAATAAGACCCCACAAATAATCAGGTTATCAATTGTACAGCTAGGCTAATGAAATTGTGAAGAAAAATCAAACAAAACCACCACCAACAATAAAACCCAAACTCCTCCCAAAAAGTTCAAAAATGCAAAGAACAATTAGCTGTCAATACAGTAAGTCATTCACTACACCGATACTAGAATGTAGATCTAGACTAGCGAAAAAAGAAACCCAAACCCACCAATAGCCTACTACAAACACTAACAGCACACTGCCATCATACAGACCAAAACAACAACAACAAGATCTAATCTAGATCTAGATTAGATCTAGCCTACAACAACAATAACAAGCCCGTGACCTATAATCCAATAGATTCCTACTCAATGTTGCAATTACAGTCACCACCCCCAACGACAGCAACGAACAACAGCGACGAGCGAGAGAAATCGATGAAACAACATTCTTTTGACTGACCTTCCAAAACGCCGGCCAGTTTCGTCTAATTTAATAGTCAGTCGTTACACAGTAACCTTCGACCTGGATTCACAATAAACAGTAAGTCGAAACGACCGTCTTGCCCGATCACAAAATGAATTAGCTACACTACTAGTATAGGGACCACTACCACAATTCTGTTTTAAAAACCCACCCTAAACAACATCAAAGAGTCAGTAATAACTCCAGTCTTAGACCCAAGCGATGGTATCGCAAACCGATCTCGTTTTCTGTGTGCATGGGGACATTTAAATCTAGCCCACTCTACTCCCATCACCGCCCCTTGATTTCAGAAACTCACCTGTTCTATTTCCCGTCCGTTGATGCCGTAACATCGGTTCAAAAGTGTGAAATAATCCAAAAGTACGAACTTTATCCTAGGAATTCACTCTGACGAAACTTATCAAACTCCTCACGAAAACAGAAATAACACAAAATAGAAGTCGAAAACAAAAATCTCCTACTAAAGGAGTGCAGTGCACACCTGTTGCCCAGTTTTGCCAAGTCGCCCCAGGTTTTATTCGCCGACTAGACCAGTCAACCAACCAAGCGAGCCGGTGTGGCCTAAATTTTTCATCACGAGACTTCGGGACAGTCAAGCCCTCGCCGCCGCCCCAGGTACGAACGCAAAGCAGTGTCGTCGGTCGAGTGTTGAGTCAAGGGAAACTACCGAGTTGCGAAAGAGAAATCGGAAATCCCTCGACACGACATGGCCTGAGCGCTGTGTCACCAACGACCATACATAGCCCATGCTTGGTGAAGCAGCACGGGGCAGATTTCAACGTGTGGTTGTTGCACGGTGGTGCCTTTGACTTTGATCTGAATCAATCAATTCAGCTGGTCTCACTCTTTTATAATTTCTGTTGTTGTCGTCGTCATCATTGTTGTTATCGTCGTTTGTCCATTGATAAAGTCAAATTGAGGGATTCTGTCACTCTGTCATCTTTCTCGATTTATATCTTTTGTAATTGTTATAGATAATTCTCGTTGCACTATTCCTATGATTCTTGTTTTTAATTATGTAGTAGTAGTAGTAGTAGTAGTAGTAGTAGTAGTAGTAGTAGTAGTAGTAGT